AATAAAAAAAGGTACATTATGTTCAGCTATATTAAATTATTTGAAGAAACGAAGTTATGTAAAAACTGCATCTCTCTCCAAGTTCTGTGATTCATAATTCTGAATTCTCTCCAACAAAACTGGGTGATTTCTCTAAGTTAGAAAGAGATAACTATTAATACCTGGACGTATTTTTTATGTTTTCAAAAAAGCAGTTATTATAAGACTACACTGCAAAAGTACCTATCTTTTAGACTGGTGACTACACTAAACTGTCTTAAATTGAACCAGGCCAAATCAAACCTTAGGATGTTCTGTGGTCCATAAAGATACCAAGGGGGAACCATTCACTGTGTCTCAGTTGCTGCCTTTAAGTGAAAATAGAAATCATTGTTACATGAGTTTTCTCTTCATCCAGAGACACTCCTAGGGCATGGTAGCACAATTTGAAGACTGTTCAAATAAAATAAAACACTAAGGACTCTGACAAAGCATATAACCCTGCAGAAGCCAGAATATTGTTTTCCATCTTAACAAAAGGCTTTTACAATTTTATTTACACATATATAATATATTTTGATCATATCTACCCTCTCTCTTCCCCACTATAAATGCCCCAGGACTACTCCCAACATGTCTTCCCAACTTCATGTCCTCTTCTCTTTTTTATAACTCGTGGGGAGTCCAATTAACACTCCCTATATGTGCATGGGTGTGGAGCCATCCACTGGAGCATGGACAGTTTATCATCCCTGAAGAAAATTGACTTTCCCTCCCCTTCAACCATCAACTGCCAATAGCTCCTCAGCCAAAGGTGGGGCCTCATGAGCCCTTCCCGAGTCCATACTTGAATTTTTGACTAGATTGATCTTGTGCAAGTCTTGTGCATGTAACCACAGCTGCTATGACGTTTACGAATGGAAGACAGCATTTCGGAACTATTTGGCATCCTCTAGGTCTTAATTCTTTCCAGGCAGGTATAACAAATAGGCGAAGGAAACATAGTTGTTTGGGGAGCAGGGGATGTATATCTGTCCTGCATTTTTTCTATCTATCTATCTATCTATCTATCTATCTATCTATCTATCTATCTGTCATCTATCTATCTATCTATCATCTATCTATCTTCTATTATCTATCTATCTATCTATGTATCTATCTATCTATCTATCTATCTGTCTAT